TATATGGTATTGCTATTTTTTAATTTTGGAGGAGGTGTCATACAGTTTTCTGTAGTGATTACATTCCCGCCAGCAGTGTACGAAGGATCTCTCTTCTCTCTTCTCTACATCCTTGGCCAATGCTTGTTACGTTGTGTTTTTTTGATACTAACCATTCCAACAGGTGTGAAGTGATAGCTCATTATGGTTTTAATTTGCATTTCCCTGATGAGGAGGGATGTTGAGCATCTTTGCCTGTTGGTCTTCTGTACGTCTTCTTTGGAAAACATCTATTCAGATCCTCTGCCCATTTTAAAATCAGATTTTTTTTGCCTTTAAGTTATAGAAGTTCTTTATATATTTTGGATATTAATCCCTCATCAGATATGACTTGCAAATATTTTCTCGCATTCAGTAGGTTACCTTTTTATTTTGTTGATGGTGAACCATTTCTTTTGGAATCTGATTTCTGCCACAAAGACTTACTCTTTTTCAATAATGACTACGGAAACCTTCTTGATGTGTCTGCACTCCTAGCCCTTCTGTTGATCCCACGTACCTGGATTTTCTCACTTGGGCTCAGAAGTCTCCTTTCACTGCCTGTTCACTTCTCCCCTGATTGAAGGACAGGGGCCCAGGTACTCTGGGAATAGAAAGAAGTGAAGGGGGGTTTGTATTTATTTCCTGTGGCCATTGTAACAAATTACCACAAACTGGCTGGTTTAAAACACAAATTTATCATCTCACTGTTCTGGAGGCCAGAAGTCCAAAATCAGTATCATTGAGCTGAAATCAAGGCCTCAGCAAGGCCACGCTCCCTCCAAATGCTCTAGGGGAGCATCCTTCCTTTGCCTCTTGCAGCCTCTGGTGGCTCCTAGTGTTCCTTGGTTTGTGGCCATGTGGCTCTGATTTCTGCCTCTGTCTGCACGTGGTCTTCTCCTCTTGTGTCTGTGTGTATGTCAAATCTCTCTCTGCCCGTCTCCTATGAGGACACTGGTGATGGAATTTAGGGCCCAGGATAATCTTCCCATCTCAACATGCTTAACTTAATCATATTTGCAAAGACCCCTTTCCCAGAGAGGGTCACATTTACATGTTCCAGGGATTAGGGCCTGGCGTCCTTGGGGGCTCTTCCAAGCCACCCCCAGGCAGTGTGGAGGCTTGCAAGAAGGCAGGAGCAGATTGAAGGTGGACACTCCGTCCACTCCCTGGAAACATAACCCCCAGCGGCTAAAGGCTCATGTCTCTGTTTCTTTCTCCAAGGGCCCAGAAAGGGAGATGGATGCCATACAGGCCAAGGAGGAAATGAAGAAAGCCCGTGAGGAAGATGAGCAGGAGCAGCTGGTGGGCAGGTTTGGTGGGCAAGAAAACACTTTCCAGAGATTTCACAGGAGGGATGAACTTTAGTCATTCCCACCCCAGATAAAGATGACTGGTAAAATCTTGTTTCTACTTTAATCTACATGTAAAAAGTGCAAATGTCAACATATGTGGTAATTTGCCCAATTTTCTTTGAAAATGTTCCTATGCTTCTCAGTGGGGTTGGTCTGGTGTTCCCTGAGACCCACCCTGGGCACCGAGATGTTTTCTCTCGACACACCTGAGTGCTAGAAGCCAGAGGCCAGTGGGGGTCTGGCCAAAAATATGATGCTCTTTTCTTAGCCCCCAAAATGTTTTATAAATAAAAGTTGGTAAAACTTACTATGAAAAAGGAGAAATGATGCCTTATTTCTTCAGGCTGCAAGTTACTAACAGCATATGCTAACCTTTTCCAATATGAAACCTTTACAAAACATCAATCGTGTAGAAAGTTTTGGCAGGTTTCACTGGCATACTGGTTATTTTGGAGAACCCAGGTCTGTGTGCACAGACTTTTGTCATGCCATAAGGAAGCCACTGCTTCTTTTCCCTCACTCTGTGACCCACTTCTGTGGCCTTTTATTCTCTGTAAGACAGAGGAATAAAATTCATTTTCTCAAGTGAAAATAGTCATTATTTCTCAGTTCAATCTTTTTGGCTTAATCAAATAATTTGCTTTTTAAAAGTCATACTTAAGAGTCTTCTGATTTGAAGATGCCTTTTTCCACACAGAAATTTGTGTTGGAAGTAATAAAATTTAGGACACCAGGAATCTGGAACCCAGTGATATTACAAATAAGCTGATACATTGGAAATTATATATGACACATTGCTAGGTGATCCATGTGAAAAGTCTGCCCATGAAGTGAAATACTGGCAAGTTTTGTCTCACTTTGGCTGAAGATGGCAGACCTCCAAATGTGGACTTCTAAAAAAAATACTTTATGAATTTATTTTTAGGGAGACACACACAGGAGTGGAGAGGGGGAGATGAAGAAGGAGAGAATCTCAAGCAGGCCCCCTGCCCAGTGCAGAGCCTGATGAGGGGCTGATCTCATGACCCTGAGATCAGGACCTGAGCCCAAATCAAGAGTCGGATGCCCAACTGACTGAGCCATCCAGACGCCCCTAAATGGACTGATGGCTGACGGTTCATTGGGGGTTGGTTATCACTCTCAGAAATGAAAGACTCACTTCCATGTAGTGCAGGGATGGCATTCAACAGTCTACCCCTTTAATCTCTGAAGGGTGTAAGAAGTTACTGAAGAAAGAAGCAGGGCCAGGCTTAGAAAATGCTGGAAACAATTGTATGACGATGGGTCAGACCAGCTCAGATCCTGCAGAGCTCATCTTTGGAGCAGTCCCATCCTGGAGAACTTTCGGTGAAGATGGAGATGTTCCCCATTTGCAGTGGTCAATACAGTGACCACTGGCCACATGTGATCCCTTGAAATATGGCTGGTGGGACTGAGGAATGATTTTTTTTTAAAAAATTAATAATCATTGGTTTTAGAGTTGTTTTAGTTCAGTGCAAAGCTGTGCAGAAAGCACAGAGTTCCCATATACCCTCACTCCTATACCTATACCCACACATCCTCCCCCACTATCAGTATCCCACAACATAGTGGTACATTTGTCACAATTGATGAACCTGACACATCATTATCTCCCAGAGCCCATAGTTTACATTAGGATTCAATCTTGGTGTTGTACATTCTATGGAGGAATGGATTTTTAATCTTATTTAATTGTAATTCAAATTGAAACTTACTTGGCCACACGTGACATGTGGCCACCACGTTGGACAGTGCAGCTCTGGACTCTGGCAAGAGAGGTCACAGGATGGCGGCTCACTGCCCAGTGTGGTGGCTACAGAAGTAAGAGGGAATCCCAGGCCGCTAGCTGGGTGGGACTCAGCACCAAACCTCTGTTTCTAGTCAAGAGGATGCAGGAGAGTCTCCGTGGTCACTGCCTCTGTAGGCTCTGACACTAAGGTTGGAAGCCTATATATGACATTTCACAGATACCCTTGCCCACTGGTTTCCCGTCATGTTCCGTCAGAAAGAAGTGGTCAGACAGGCGGAGAGGAGAAGCCATTTTTTCAGGCTTCTGCTGGCACCTGAGTCAGTGGTGAGAAAAACAGCAGTGGCTGATGAGAGCAGGCATCTGGGTTCCTGCTCAGGGCCCAGAGATGATGGGTTTTGGGTGACACCTTTTCCCCTTTTGGCCTTTAGCCCTAGAACGGCTAGCAGCTTCCTATAGTTACTAATCTTTAGGTAACCTTATATTCCTGTTCCGTTTTTGCCATACTTTTATAATCATTCTCCTATATCAACTGTCCTCTGTTGGAAGTGTCTAAGAATGACTTGACTTTTCCTTATGGAACACAGACGGATAAAGCACGCCAGACAGCTAAAAGCCTCCATTTCTGCACCTGGACCATCGCTCCAGCTTTCCAGCTGGCCCACTCCTGTCCATCCATCGGTGCTCAGGCTACTTTGCCTGCTGCATTGAGAGTCGACATTCTAGAACACAAATCTGATCATGTTCAAAATCCTCTGGTGGCCTCCCCTTGCTTTTTATATAGGGAACCGAGGAGTGATGGAGCATGACGAGACTGAAAACTTGGGAGCTCAGACAGCAAAAGAGTCTCAAGACCAGACCAGATGACCATGGTCTTATCTCGTTGCTCTTCGCTCAGGGGTGTCTCATGGGACCAGCAGCAGCTTGACTCCAAAATGGGAGAGGTGGACAGGAAGCTGTGCACCACCCCTGAGATCACATGCCTTCTAGCTTGCCTGCCTGGGAAGCAGTGCCTGGCCAGACTCACTTTGCGGCCATCACAGGAGGCCAGGTAAGGGAGGCCCACCTGCCCTGAGGAAACCTTGTGCCGCTGTGGTCAGCTGCCTGGCTGGACCTTTCTTCCTTGCCCTGTTAGTGGAAACTGGCCACAGATGAATGTGTGTCCCCAGCCAATGGAAGACAAAACGTCAAAAGAAATAAATGCCCCCTCTGGTACCAGTTCTCCAGCAAACCTCAGGGGCCTGCTCTGTGCCAGGCAGTGTGAGATGTGGAGGTAGAAGTACAACAAACACATATTACCATCCCCTCTTCTCAGAAGGGGATTGGGGGCTCAGAGAAGGTACTTAAGTTTAACTTGCCAAGGTCACCCTGCTAGAAAGTGAGAGTTGGGAAATTATCACACACACACATCCGCCAGCCACCCCCACACACATGCACCCTATCCCAGAAACAGGGAGCGTTGTTGGGCACGGCGAGGTCCCTGACCCTCTGCGGGGTGGGCAACAACCTCCCCACAAGGCGTCTGCCAGGCGCACGGGGAAGGGGACGGCACCTAGCACGTCATTCCTCCGGGTGCCGGGCCACGGGGCGGGCCGGGCGTAAGGGGGCAGAGAAGCTTGGCGCCCATTCGGGGGCCTGCGCTCCTCCCGGGCCCGGACCCCGGGTCCCCGGGCCCCCGGGCCCCCGGCCCCGCCCCCTCTCGGCCCGGGCTAGGTGTGCACGGCCCCGCCCTCGACCCCGCCCCTTTGGGTTGGGTCGCGCGTGCGTAGCCCTGCCTCGGTCCGCCCTCTCCCGGACTCAGTTGCGCGCGCACCGCCCCTCGCACCCGTGCGCACGCGCGGCCCCGCCCCCGTCTCCCCGGCGCTCGGAGCCCGAGTCCGCGGGAAGATGGCGGCCCCGCTCCTCCCGCTCTCCCAGCAGGTACGGGCCGGCAGGCGGGGGCGCAGCGCCGGGGCGCGGGGCGCGAGACGGGCATCGCGGTGAGGCCGATGTGCGGGGAGGCCCAGCCGGGCGGCGGCGGCTCGCGCTGAGGGGCCCCCGCGGAGGGCGGGCGAGTGGGCGGGCGGTCCTGAAGGTGACAGGCCGGCCCGGCCCGCGGCCTCCCGCGCCCTGGCGACCCTTTGCGGGCGGCGTACAGGCGGGGTAGCTGCCTGTGTCTGTACAGTCTGGGGCCCGGGCCCGGCTGCATGCCCGGCCTTCGCCGCCGCTCCCTGGCCGGGCGATGCACGGTGGCACTGGGCTCTCATTCGGGGAGGTGGGCGAGGGGAGTGAGCTTTTCTGCCGGTGCGTCGACCCCGCGAGTCTTTGTTTCCTGACGGGTCCCAGCGCCGGGGCAGACAGTGTCCCCGCCGGGGTGGACGGCAGAGCCCTGCCAGAGTCAGGACCCTACGGCAGTGCGATCCTGGACTCATCCCTCAATTCCTTGGGAGCTGTTTCCGCCACCCTTGAATCGAGAAAGGGGGGATCGCACGTCTCCGGGCCCCTCCCTGTGCCCTCAAACACGCCTGGTGGTCTTACTAAGGGGCAGTAACAGTGGAGCGACACATACGTGCAAAAAAAGAGCTTTGCGCTGGCAGCCCTGCTTTCTGGGAGGGGCGTTCATTCATTTATCCGTCAAATGTGCGTTAGTCCAGGTGCTGGGAGCGCAGCAGTCACCCAGACAGACAAGGTCGCTGCTCTCCCGGAGGTGACACTCTCAAGGGAACTAGAAACTACCTGTGCCCTGCTACTAACAGCTGCCTTTATTGACTGAATACCTGTGTTGTACCAAGCACAAGATTATAAGCATTTTGTCTGAATTAATTAGCACAGAGTTGGGATTAAGAGTGAGGACACAGGGTCATATCATCTTCTGTTTAGTTCTTGGCTCTATCACCACTTCTTTTTTTTTTAATTTTATTTATTTGACAGAGAGAGACACAGCGAGAGAGGGAACAAGCAGGGGGAGTGGGAGAGGGAGAAGCAGGTTCCCTGCAGAGCAGGGAGCCGGATGCGGGGCTGGATCCCAGGACCCTGGGATCATGACCTGAGGCGAAGGCAGACGCTTCACGACTGAGCCACCCAGGCGCCCCTATCACTTATTCTTCTGAGTGTCCTTGGGTGAAGCTCTTAGAACTCATTTGGAAAATGGAAATATAAAAATATTGGGATAATGTGAAGATTAAGTTTGTAAGGTGCTTAGAACAGTGCCTGGCACATCAAAGCACTCAGTGATACTGTAATTATTATCATTTAATTCTCTGGCAGATTGGGACATATGGGAATGTAGACCACAGCAGTAAGAATGCTAAACCTTAAGAGAGCTGATAGGCAGGTTGGCACGACTGACCAGCTGTTCTAAGGAGAGAGACATGCATACCTGCTAAATCTTGCAAGAGCTAGCCAATTTGTAACACTGTCACTAAATTAAAAGTATTAAAGACCAGTGGTTATTAATTAACATGTTCTTATAACAGGGGAGTGCTATGTAAACTAGATGCCATACAGATGTGGGGTGTTATTGCTAATAGCCAGTTGCCACAGTTTAGGGTGTGTTTGTGTGTGTAGGGGTCGAAACTCGCTTTAGGCTCACTTAATGAGAAAGTGCTTCCAGTTTGGGGGGGAATCTTTTTAAAACTTCTGTCAAATTTTGACAGTAGCCCTAATTTGAACTTTGAACATGACAGTGGCTAATGTTTATTGAGTGCTTTAGAGTTTAAGTGCTTTCTAACAGGTTGGTGCTTATCCACACAACATGGAGAGGGGAATTCTTATTTTACTGATGAAGGATTAGCTTTGGAGGAAGGCAGTGGTTTGCCACTGTGAGTTAAGGTTTGAAAACATGAATCAGGTCATGTGATTCACCTGCTTAGCACCTTTTGGAATAAGATCCCAATTCCTTCTCAGGAAGCCTTGCTGGGTCTGGTGCCTGCCTGCCCTCTCCCGCCTCATGCTTTCCCCGGTACCCACACTGCAGCCATACTTGCTGCTTTTCTGCTCTTCCCGCAGTCCAGGCTTTCTCTGTTCTCAGGGTGTCCTCACTGGCTCTTCCTTCTTCCTGAAGTTCTCTTCCTTGTTTCTTCTCTTGGTGCTGTCAGTGCCTGGCTCTTTTCCCTTCTCCAGGTGGTAGCTCAGATGTCGTTCTTCCCAAACGCCTTTGCTGACCACTTGTCATAAATAGGGCCCCCTCTTCCATCCCACCAGCAGTGTGTTTCCTCCACATACTGCTCAGCACCATTCATGGTCTACAGATGTCTGTTTCCCCATGAGACCAGGCACCCAGTCAGAGCAGGTGCAGACTCTTGCTCCTGTGACCAGCACCCAGGAGTTGTCAGGTAAACGCATGAAGCAGGAACCAGAGAGTTCAACCGACCAGCGCCATTTACAGGTGGCTCTTCTCTACGTGTGGGATGGGGCTAGGGGTGGGAGCAAAATTGAAGGAGGAGTTGCAAGAGGCTGACAGCCAGGAGCCTATGACAACTTTAGGTCGCTGACTTCAGTGTTTTTTTCCTGTTCCTTTATGTTTGTTGAACGAAGGCACGAGTAGGTTTTCTTCTTTCAGGTAGTTAGGTCAACATTTCTCTATGGCTGTTCTTAGTGAAGGTCTGCACCAGGTGTTCCTGTCAAGCTAGGTGGGAGGTATAGCCCTTCAGGTGTTTTCAGCCCAGCTGAGATCACACGGATTCACAGATAATTACTGGGGAAGCATGGATATGATTCCAGGATAATTTCTGGTTGAGGGCAGTCAGGGAGCCCCCTGGAGCATGAGGCTCTGCTCTGGTTGGACTGAGGTGTAGGGCACACTTGGAACGTGGATGGCCTGTTGGAGGTGAATAAAGTGGTTGCCAGCAGGTTTGCAGAGGGGAGGGGGGCAGTGTGTTTCCCCTCTGTCCCCAGCACTTTTCCCATCAGCACCTTTCTTGGTCTGCTCCATACTCCCCAATATCTATGGCACCTCTTTCCCTATACAGTCTCTTCTGACCCTGAATACAAATCTTGCCCATTTGAAGAGTCAGGAGTCTAGGGTTGATTTCTCCCAAGCACAGCTCCCCTTTGCCTCTCCTGTCCCGGGAATGCATCTGTGTTCCTCACCCCTTTTGTACCATGTGGTCTCATAAGCTACTGGTCATCATGCCATCCTTAACCCCAGTGGCCTGTCATTGGTCGTCCTTGAACCCCACACCACTGGTTACTGTAACCCACCAGTTGGCCTTCACTCTGTCTTCTGCATTCTCTCTCTCTGCTCCCGTCTTAGGGTCTCCCCACAGAGCATGCCCTTCCCCCACCAAGAGTCCAGCCTCCTGTTTCTCCCTTGCCAACCCTCCATCCCACCCCCCACTGGCTGCCCACTGGAATTGGCCACCTCCTTACCACATCCACAAGTTCACAGGGCTGGGCCTGTCCCCCTTCCTGCTTAGCCTCTCCCTCATAGTTCATTCCGCGCAACCACCCCCCGCTCCAGAAACCTCCAGCTGCTCCCATTTCACTCCCCTCCGTATGTCCAGCTTGACTGCTCCTGGTTCAGCATTCCCACGCGCCCTGGGCCTGCTCCACCTCACCTTGCCGCACCATTTCCACGTAAGCCGTGGCTCTTCCCAGGGCTCCTCCACATCCCCCCACCTCATGCCGTGATCTCCTGCTGCAACCTAGCCTACCTCCCACCCATTGGAGGCCACTCTTGGAGGCCTCTTTGATGGTGTCTTCCCTCAGTCCCACCTCAATGACAGTTCTCCCTCCTGTACCTTCTGTGGGTCCCTTGCGTGGCCCTTGACCCAGGAAGCACATGGAAAGTATTGGGCTCATTAATGAAGAGTGTGCCGTGTGCCCAAGGAGTTCCACCCCCTCCCCTATGCCACTGGGGCCCTCCTCCTTTGTCATGTGCTTCCTATGCCCAGGCACTTGAGATACATCATCCTTTTAATGGGTGCCAGGTTCTAAATTTTTATTCCCATTTTGCAAACAGGAAACTGAGACCCACAGAGATTTAAGTCACTTGCCGAAGTCCCATAGTTGGTGGGTCGACCCCACATCTGTCTGCCTGCAGAGCCCTGCTCTTTCTCCTCTTTCAGGCAGCCTGCTGGGCACCTCGCCCAGAGCAACACCCGGTGAACGTGTCTGCAGTGAATGCCAAGTGCTTGGGGCACTTGTTTGTCCTTTCGTCTCTTGTTTTTTTTCTCTAAAATAATTGCTACTCTCTCTGTCTTACTAGAATGCTAATGGTGATGTGGTATAAGTTGGTGAGTAGAGAGTCAGGTTTTAGAGTAAAGATTGGCCCTACCCTGTAAGATCCGGAATTTCTTGGCTCTTTATCTTATTGACCTGCATTGGCCTGGTTTGTGGACCAAGTAGCTACCAGTTAAGCAAGAACATGTAAATTTTGCTCCCTTTGCCCCAATTTTGAATTTTATTATTTTTTTAAAGATTTTATTTTAGGGAGAGGAAGAAGCAGGCTCCCCACTGAACAGGGAGCTTGACGTGGGCCCTGATCCTAGGACCCTGAGATCATGACCTGAGCCGAAGCAGACGCTTAACCAACTGAGCCACCCAGGCGCCCCAATTTTGAACTTTAAAGCAACTTTCCCATGCTTGGTTCTTCACACGATCAGCTGCTCCGGGAAGTGGACTGTCTTTGATCAGTTGGTACCCGAGAGCTGAGTGTCTACTCTCTGATGCCTCAGGCCACCTCACATTATTATGCTGTCAGATGGACGCAACCACCCCCCCCCATGAGAGGCATCTCGACAGCCGTGCTGGGGGTGCTTGCAGGGGCTCCCCACTCAGACCTCACCTGAGCAGCCAGCGTCCACTCGGAAGACTACTCCACATTCTTCCTCAAAGACGACTCTCCCACCCCATTATCATTTGAGGTCCCTTCAGGTTGTGTTTTTCAGAGTTCAGGTCCCCAGATGTCCTTTCAGTACCCTCAGTTGTGCTATATTTTC